CATCCTTGTTGTACTCCTTTTCCTATGCTGAACCAATCAGTTGTTCCATATCCGGTTCTAACTGTCGCTTCTTGGCCCTTATACAGGTTTCTCAAGAGACATGTGAGGTGGTCTGGTACTCCCATCTCTTTAAGGACCTGCCATAGTTTGTTGTGATCCACACAGTCAAAAGCTTTAGCATAGTCAATGAAGCAGAAGTAGATGTTTTTCTGGTACTCTCTTGCTTTCTCCATACAAAAGCTCATACCTGGAATAAAACTGTGTTGGTCTGAAAGGTGACCCTGGACTCAGCCTTTGTTCTACTGCTTTGTTGGAGGAGGAGGAGGAGGAGGAGGAGGAGGAGGAGGAGATAGGATTTATACCCCGCCCTTCACTACCCAGAGGTGTCTCAGAGCGGCTGACAGACTCCTTTCCTCCCCCTCCCCACCACAGACACCCTGGGAGGTGGGTGGGGCTGAGAGAGCTCTGACAGAAACTGCTCTTTTTCAAGGACAGCTCTTGTCAGAACTACGGCTTGCCCAAGGCCATCCAGCCAGGTGCAAGTGGAGGAGTGGGGAATCAAACCCGGTTCTCCCAGATCAGAGTCCGGGCACTTAACCAAGACACCAAAAGACGAAGGAAGAAAGAAGGGGAAGGAGGAGAAGAAGAAGAGATTGGATTTATACTCTGCCCTTCACTTGGAATCTCAGAGCGGCTTACAAACTTCTTTCCCTTCCCCTCCACACAACAGACTCCCTGTGAGGTAGGCGGGGCTGAGAGAGCTCTTGACAGAAACTACTTTCCCCCCAAGAACAGCTCTTGTCAGAGCTACGGCTTGCCCAAGGTCATCCAGCAGGTGCAAGCGGAGGAGTGGGGAATCAAACTCAATTCTCCCAGATGAGAGTCCGCGCACTTAACCACGACACACCAAACTTTCGTGTGCATGCACGACTTTAAGACCAACAAAGTTTCCTTCTGGGTATAAGCTTTCCTGTGCCGTGCACACCTTGAAGAGCAACACAATTTAACCCTGGGTAGAAGCTTTCCTGCACATGCACACCAAAACTCAGACCCAGAACTAAGCTTTGTGGGTCTTCAAGGTGCCCCCTGGAGGAGTGCGTCTGTGGCCGGGTGGGTGTGGCCTGGCCCCTCCCGCCCCGTCCTGCCAATCCCCGCCCTCCCTCCCTCCTGGAGCCTCGGACCGCCCCTCTCC